AATTAATATTTAATATGATAATGCTAATATGATAAGAAGTGTGAAGTACGGTACTATTCTGTTGTATCAGCAGCATTGTCCATATATTGCACTCAACTAATTTATATATATATATATATAGTATGTATTGATGATACTCCGTTATAATTTTTTCTCTTGTTTCTTAATCTTTTCTCAATATTTTTCTATTCCAGTGTGTTGACAAAGCCACAAATATCAGGAAAGAATGTTTGGACTCAATCGTGAAAGGGCAGCAGAACTTACCAATTATTTTATAGATAGCTAAAAATGTAGGCACTCATCAAGCTTTCTGCAAAATTCTGGATATGAAATTAATTAAAATATAGTGTACATTTTATTTTTAAAACATTTTCCTCTACAAAAGTATAAAAAATAATGTTAGCATTAATTAATGTAGGCTTTAATTATTGTAGGCTTTATGTATTAATTATTGTAGGCTTTATGTTTATTAATATTGTATTATTACTGCTATTGTTTATTTTAATAATAGAAAAAAATAATCCGTTTGTTGTAAAGAATAGGCCTATTGATTTTTGCCGAATGTACATGTAATACAGCATATGAATATAAAATGTATACATATATCCCAACTTGATTTCTCGATGCTTGAAAATAAATATCAAAATGAATTATGCATTTCTTCTCATTTTATTCAATAGCTGTGTTTATTGTAATTCAATAGCTAAAATATCCTTATAGGTTTAAACAAAAAGTGAAGAATTGCTGCATCAGACTTTTCTATTAAACTGTGGAGTAAAGAGTAAAAGATAAAACAAGAAATGAAATCATTTCGAGGACACCCTCAACAAAAAACATAAAACCTGAAATGACGTGTAGCTAAGCAACAAGCTCATGAATAATAATGAATATTCATTACACCTGTGCTAATTAGACTAACAATAAAATCTTTTTGGTCGATTTTGTCAAAACTGAGCAGCTAAAAGTTTTTATTGTTAGTCTAATGAGCACAGGTGTTACTAAATATGCATGAGCTGTAACCTAGCAACGGACGTCATTTCCTGTTTTGTAAAATTCGACAGCACCTTGCTCAGCTCTGAAAATTTCCGTAATTTGTTGGTATTATGTAAATATATTTGGAGATGTTAGTGTTTATAGGATATAATAGCCTATGATAGTGGTATATTCGAATCGAATTTATTATAATATATTTAATTCGATTATATACTGATTAATATCATGAAATATAGTATTATTATTAATGCAATTACGGCAAAGGAAGGACACACAATGATGTATTGCACAACAGTTTACTTTTATTTCATACATACTCGGAAATATTACATCAGAACAATATAAACGTAATATTAATAAAACATAAAGATTCTAGTTTTACATAATATATATATGCTTAGGCCTAATTATAGTTAAGTAGGTAATATCGTTCGAGGATTACTTGTTCGTTGTACAAGAAACATAATTTGCAAATTAATTAAATTCCAATAATCCAATGGCCATGGTATAAATCTATATCGGCGCGCAATAGAAGACCACATAAATCCGGCTATTGACAGTACATTGTGTTCCAGCAATGGACAATAATTGTCCATTGACTTCGTCGCACTTATTGATGGATCGGTAGATTTTACCAGAGACACTGAAATATAAAAGAGATTGAACTAGTGAGAAATACATTCAAAATATTTTCATTTTGGCATCTGTGTTAAAAAAAAAAGGCCTAAATAAGTATAAACCTCATTATAGCATTCATATTCACGAGATATATAGGAATACAAATTCAGAAAATAGAATTGATTGTTTGATTGATATAATACATTATGTAAAGTGTACATGTTATAAAACGTTATTTTTATATGAGAGGTGCGTCCGCTTTCCACCGTCCCACCCCAAATTGAAAAATGTCCACATTTTTAAGACATTCGAGAATTTGTTATGTTTTTTTGTAATAAAACTGAAAAGCGAATTTTAAATCTTAACATTTTAACCAATACTTTATCGGACCTCTGTATCGTCTTATAAAAACAAAATATGCGGTCCAAGCTCTTCCCCTTCACGGCATCAGGAGTTTATTTGACCCCTCCCCATTTTGTATGATCGTAACGTCTTATGTTTCCATCTGAGCATTGTTATTATCTATCTATTTATTTACATAGGCCCTATATTATCAATAAGTGCATAGACAACAGAATCCCGGTTGGGGCAACTATATTTATCTCAATAGAATGCTCAACAAAACAAATGTTAAGGAGCTATCAATCTGCATACAACGTTGTGTCGTCCTTTAAGGACTCATCAGTGCAGCTCAGATAAATTTGAGATTGAACCTTACTTTGCTTGTAACAACTCAGTTTAAAAGCGCTCGTAATACCATGCCATAGGTGAGAACGTTTGAGAATGTTATAAATATATATATAATATATAATATATATGCCTATATATATATATATATATATATATATA